TAAGAGCTTATGACATATGACATAAGATGTCATGGTCCACAGTGTCAAAAGCTTTAGACAGGTCTAAGTAAAGTGCAGCACAGTAGTCCTTAGCATCCAGTGATTCAACAACATCATTAAAAACCTTCAGCGAAGCAGACATTGTGCTGTGTTGTTTCCTGAAACTAGATGGATGGGGAAATACGATGTTAAAAGAATCCAAATACTTGAGTATTTATCACTTTTTCTAAAACCTTAGCTAGACTACAGAGTTTAGAGATCTGTCAGTAGTTGTTCAGTATAGTGGGGTCTTCTCCCTTCAATAATGTTAGAACAAAAGCTATTTTACTAGCATCTGAAACAGTATTTTGGTGTACGGACTGATTAAAGATGTAAGACACCGGTTCTACTATGATCTGTGCAGCTAGCCTTAAGAAGTAAGGAGGGAGGTCATCAGGGCCTGCAGATTTTCTAGAATCCAGACATTTGAACAGTTTAGTAACCTCACTGACAGAGCACGGTGAAAATGTAAAGGTGTGGTTTACTGAGGTATGACTTATAGGAGAAATTTGATTTGTAGAAGTTTGGCTTTAAAGAGAAGTAGATGAAAGAAAGCATAAACACAAACAATATTACTGTAAAATTGGAGGTTAGCTTAGTTTATACTACTCAGTTTTAGGGCTCTCAAGCTGAAGTAATGAAGTAGGTAAGCAATGAAGTTCTAGTGTAGAAATAGACCCACTTCTAAAACAAAGTATTTTATTATGAAACAACTTCAGTCTTCACAATTTATACCGAAGCCACTATTTAAACAATTGCACTACTTGTAATTTCATATTACATGGCTCTTTAAGCATAAATAAAATATTTTTCTTATAAGAAGGGCCCCAAGCTGCATCAGAAGAGCTAATGCTGGATAATGCTGCTCCTGTTTGCTCTTGAAATTAAAATATAAATTTTATAAATTGTTACCCCATCCTCTCGTCCATTGACTGCTGGATATGAGCACCAGTGACCCCCCGTGACCCGAAAAGCGGGTAAAGACGAAGGATGGATGGATATATAAATTGAATAAATGTAAACATTTTATGTAACACTAAGTTTAAAAAGTTGTTGTTTTTGTGATTATCTACTAAACAATAAACATAAAACTTGACCTTTATCATAAAACTGAGACCAAATACAAGAACAGTCCACATTTAAGATCGTATGTTTATTACAGTTGTCAATAAATCAATGCAACATTCATCTACATGAAGCAAAAAAAGTTATAAATATGCAGATATGCACACCTTCTCCAAAATGAGCTTGATTTATTGGGGATGATAAAACAAAATGTCAGAGAAACACATCCATGTGGCTGCACAGCGGTGGGGTGGGTGTAGAAATGAAGCCTTTAACTCAAATAAAACAAGAAATACATTTAGAAAATCTGCGACTGATTTCATATCAAATATTTAAAAATAAATGTTTAAAAAGTCAGAAGAACACTGGATGTTTAAGGAGCTTTGTAGAGTGCTGCACCCGTAGTAGAGTTGCGTTTCTTCACATTCCTGTTGAGCTACAGTACTGTTGGCAGAAAAGGTGCATGGCTTTTGTATTCAAACGAATCACTTTTCAATATTTGTGGATGATGGAGCCTTTCTGGATCAGTGAACAGAAGAAAAATCAGAATTATCCAGCTGTTGACAGGTTACCACATGAAATTGTGTAAAACAAGACAAGAATCAAAAAGTAAAAAATAAATAAAGACTGCTGATAGTAATGGTAATGCAGTCCCCCTGCACTAAGGAGGTCCTGTAGTCATTACCAGGTGGTCCTGTAGTCATTAGCAGGTGGTCCTGTGGTCATTAGCAGGTGGTCCTTTAGTCGTTAGCAGGTGGTCCTGTAGTCAATAGCAGGCGATCCTGTTGTCATTAGTATGTGGTCCAGTAGTCGTTAGCAGGTGGTCCTGTAGTCATTAGCAGGTGGTCCTGTAGTCATTAGCAAGTGTTTCTGTTGTCATTAGCAGGTGGTCCTGGAATCATTAGCAGGTGGTCCTTTA